CAGATTACATCCATCAAACTCAATGTTGAAAACTATGTTCCGTGGGCCAAGTTGGTGGAAGTGTTTCTGAAGGCTAAGAAGAAAGTAAAACATGTACAGGAGGAGAAACCTAGTGCTGAATCCCCGGGTTTTAGTGATTGAGAGAAAGAGGATGTTCAAATTATGACGTGGTTGTGGAATAGTATGGAGCCTAGAATCAATGTTAACTTCATGTTTTTAGATACAACAAGGGATATATGGGAACATGCCAAGAAACTCTATTATGGACAAGACAAACACTACAAGGGTTTATTAGCTTTATCAGGAATACTTCAGTTTGCAGCAGGGAAATCAGAGTTTTGAAAAATATTATGCCAGTATGAAAAATCTTCGGAATGAACTTAATGTCTATCATCCCTTAACTCCGGACGTCAAAATTCAGCAGCAACAAAGGGAACAATTAGATGTTACACGGTTCTTGGTGGGACTGAAAGCAAAGTATGAACCTGCCAGAGCACAAATATTGGGAGGATCTACTCTCCCTACTCTAGAAGAAGTGTTTGCCCATCTTTGTAGGATATTTCATGATTCAAGGGGAGGCCGTGGTAGAGGAAGGGGGAGCACTACTAAGAAATGCACACATTGTGGGAGAGAAGGACACACAGGTAACTTCTGTTATGATTTGTATGGCCCACCATCCACATGGGCTAATCATGCAACTGTTGGTGTTTCACTGAAAATTCTTCGTTCTGACAATGGTAGGGAGTATTTTCTTTCTTCATTTTAGCAATACTTGGAATAACATGGTATTATTCATCAGACATCTTGTGCCCACACCCCTTGGAAAAATGGGGTGGCTGAGAGGAAGAACCGACATCTACTTGAAATGGCTCGGTTTCTTCTTCATCATATGAATGTTTCTAAACGTTTCTAGAGTGATGTGGTTCTTACTGCTTGTTTTCTCATTAATCACATGCCCTTGTTCATTCTTGATGGACGTTCTCCGTTCTCTATCTTATTTCCCACTTTGTCCCATATCCCTGACTCCCAAGATCTTCGGGTGTGTGTGCTTTGTTTAGAATCTTGGTCTTGGGCTATACAAGTTGGATGCTCGCTCCATTAAATGTATCTTCCTTGGCTACTCTAGGACACAAAATGGGTATAAATGCCACAATCCTATTACTCGGAAATCCATTGTTTGTCCTGATGTTACATTTTTCAAATCGGTGCCATTTTTCTTCGATTTTGATATCTCTTCTTCTCCTACAAAGGTTCCTCTTCCTTTTCTGGTTGATAATTCCATTCCAGTGGTTCCCATTATGCCTAAGTCTCCACCTTCCCCAATGCAGGAGAGTACTGAAAGACCACCTATTTGTCAAGTGTATACTCATCGACAGAGGCCAGCACCTCCACCACCTTCTACTCCGGTGGCTGATCCAACTCCTTCCACAACCGAATTGCCTTCTAATCTTAACTTTCCTATTGCATTGCGGAAAGGTAAACGTAGTTGCACGTTACACCCCATATCCAATTATATTACTGTATCTCACCTTTCTGCTTCCCATCGCAAGTTTATTACCCTGTTGTCGTCTGTATCCACACCTAAGGATGTTCAGGAGGCTCTTACCTCACAAGGGTGGTGAAAAGCTATGGAAGAGGAACTATTTTCTCTTCATCACAATCATACATGGGAACTCACCAATCTTCTCCCAGGTAAGCATGTTGTTGGTTGTAAATGGGTGTATACTGTTAAGTATCTACCAGATGGGAGAGTGGAATGCCTGAAAGCCCGTTTAGTTGCAAAAGGGTACTCTTAACTTTATGGTGTAGACTATGTAGAAACCTTTTCTCCAGTTGCAAAGATTGGGTTAGTACGTGTGTTGATTTCCTTAGCTGTCATGCATGATTGGCCTTTATTTCAGCTTGATATTAAAAATGCCTTTCTCCATGGTGATCTTCTAGAGGAAGTGTACATGGAGAAACTACCAGGGTTTGTTGCTCAAGGGGTGGATGGTAAGGTGTGTAAACTCAAGAAGGCGATCTATGGGGTCAAATAGTCTCCTCGTGCTTGGTTTGGCAAATTTAGTGAAGAGGTGAAGGAGTTTGGAACAGTGATTTAAAAGGCGCGTGCCTCGCCTTGCGCCTCAGGCGCAAAATGGCGCTTGCGCCTTTTTTGTGCCTTGCGCTTTTAAAACCTGGTTTGGAATGGGACAATGTCAAGTTGACCATTCAGTATTTAGTTATGACTTCATGGCTGGGAAGATTTTGCTAGTAGTGTATGTGGATGACATAGTCATAACTGTCAGTGATAGTGTTGGGATTGATAGATTGAAGACATTCCTACAAGATCACTTTTAGACAAAAGATCTTGGGAAGTTGAAGTTTTTCTTGGGTATAAAAGTTGCTAGATCAAAGCAAGGCATAAACCTTTGTCAATGGAAATATGTTCTTGACCTGTTGGAAGAAACAATGTTACTAGGTGCTAAACCAGCTGAAACTCCCATGGAACTGAATGTGAAGTTGGGAAGTGACACTAGTGAATTGTTTGATAATCCTAGGAGGTATAGAAGGCTAGTGGGAAAATTGAATTATCTAACTATTACTAGGCCTGATGTCTCATTTGTTGTTAGTGTGGTAAGTCAATTTATATAGAGTCCTTGGGTGCCTCACTAGGATGCAGTTCTTAGGATTGTGCAGTATTTGAAGGGGGCTCTAGGTCGTGGGATACTGTACAAGCCGGGAGGTGATCTTGAAATAGTTGGATATATCGACGCAAACTGGGCTGGCTCTGTATTAGACAGAAGATCCACTACAGGTTATTGCACCTTTCTTGGAGGAAATCTAGTGACATGGAAGAGCAAGAAGTAGACTTTTGTAGCAAGGAGCAGTGTAGAAGCAGAATATAGGGCCATGGCACACACTACATGTGAACTAGTGTGGCTGAAGAATCTATTGCAGGAAATCGAGTTCTCGATAAGCAAATCCATGAAGCTATACTGTGACAACCAGACTGCAATTCACATCTCATCCAACCAAGTTTTTCACGAGAGAACTAAATACATAGAGGGGGATTCCCATTTTGTAAGGGAAAAGGTCATCAATGGTGAGATAAGCACTGAGCATGTGAGAACAGGTGATCAATGGGAAGATCTATTCACAAAAGGGTTGAGTTCGAGAAGAGTGAGCTATATATGTAACAAGCTAGGATTATATGATATATACTCTCCAGCTTGAGGGGGAGTGCTAGAGTCGACTTAAGAGGGGTATTTTAGTCTTTTCCATCTAAGTAATGTGTTAGTTATATGCCTCCTACATATTTGTCAAATTTAAATATATGGTTGACTGGGTTAAACTCTTTGTCTTCTCAGTTCGACACTATTCTTCTTCTTCTTCTTCTTCTTCTTCTTCTTCTCTCCCTTCTTCTCTCTTTTCTCTCTTTTCTCATTTTGACTGAATAGCGCTAACACTTTGTCTTAGAAGGGTGTTTCAAGGGCTTCTTATTCCATCCTCGGTTGCTGGAGTGAGAGCTCTCTGGAGGCTGTTTCGATCATTCCAAGAAGCTGCTGTTCTACCTGGAAAAGATGACTACCAGCTTCATTTTTTATAGTTATCCTTCAGTTGGCTGATCCAATCAGCCTAGGTTTTCAGATTTGGTGTCGCCCTAGGGTTATCTATCACATCTATTGTTTGGGTTCGACTTTGGATTATTTTTTGAAGGGTTTCTGATCCCTTCTTTGGACCAACAGTCCTGAAACCTTCCTTTTTTTGATTTAATTGTTTTTTGCAGGCACCTAATGAGGGGCAGTTATGTCTTTTCTCTTGTTATTAAGAATAATTATAAATACCAATAGAAGGGCTGGAAAGGAGAGATTGATCTAACACCCATTCTTTCATTCTTTCTATTGTTCCCCTTCTATTCTCCTGGTTTCTTCTTTTCTGTTTTATTATTTGTTGTTTTATATCATTCATTCATTCATATTTGTGTATATGAGTGAATGAATGAATGAAAGGGTGCAAGCGCGGATAATCTTTCCACTTCTCTATCTTTCTTTACTTATTTCCTTGATTGAATCTTTCTAGTATCTATTTTGTTTTGATTCTAGAAATATTTTAAACGAGTCTGTTTCACTCTTGATCTAGAAAAACAAGACTCTTCTTGCCTTTAGATCTGGGCATTAGAGGTTTTTCTTGCATAACTTTCAGTTTTGATTGCTATTTCTTTCTTTCTTTTCTCTTTTGGATTCGTTTCTACTATGGTGGTTGGTACTGCTTTCTGTAATTGGATCCACCTATTTTTTGATCTTGTATGAGGTTTGGTTGCAAGGTGTGTTTCCTCTGTTTTTACTTTTATTTTTATTTGTATAAGGTCCTTATTGCAAGGTATTGCTTGCATGCACAAGAAATTGGTTCAAACTCCTTATGATAGATGGTGTCCATTTTCATTTTTTATTTTGTACAATAGATCATACTTCTATATTTTAGCCCGGAAGACCAACACATTCATGTTGAAAGCAACAAATATTCGTGGTGTGATAGAGATGCCAAGAGTATAATCCCATTGCTGATTTGTTCAATTTTGTTTTATAGAATAGTGGTTCAGGCTATGGTGACCTGTTAGATACTATAGATAGAGAAATTGGAAGTTATAATTGCCTTCATAATTTTTTTCTATTTTGTTGATTAATGTTTGATAGGAGTTCTAACATCATATTTTACTTCTTGACTGGGCTTTTGTAATGGTTTTAAAATTCCACTGATCTTTGATGTATAACACTGTCTAATGTTTGATGATAGATCAGTGTTGTATTAGTGCTGTGTGTGTGCTTTAAAGTAGGAAGGAAAGAAAGAACAAGAAGAAGAAAGGATGTGAATCAAACTTGAATAGTAGGATCAAATGCCTGTCTCATTGGCTTATATACTAATAGATTGAAGCTACAAATAAGTCCCTGATTGAAGCTACAAATTTCCCAATCATCTTGAAGCTTCCAGATGATTGGGAAATTTTCATTATTTTGCTGTAGACCGGATATGGACATATTTCACCAATTGGTGGATATCATTCTGGAAGTGATATGGTACTTATCATGGATGTTGCTCGCTTCAAGTATCTTCCTCATTGGGTTCCTCTTTCTCTTCTTTGGGAAGCCATGGATACCATTGTTGAAACAACTGGGCATCGTAGAGGGTATGAACATAAATATGTTTCATCTATTTTAAATACAATATTTTGCTTGATCACTTGGTGAGAAATGTTGTCTCCTTGCAAATGAATTACTTAATAGATGTTAATACCTTTAGTGAAGAAATTCTTAACATCTATTAAGTAAAGGTATTAAATAAAATATTTGAAATCCATTGTTTGTAGTCTAATGGATCATAATGGGTCAATTAACCAAAGAATCAAAAGTGATAAGCATGTACTTTCCAAATAACCCAAATAATAGATTTGCTTAAAATATCACGTTTCCATGTGAAGAAAATATAAAAGAACTGCAAGTGATTGGGTTTTCCAACATTTGTTGTAGCGTCTCTTGTACATGAATAATGTCTTAAAATTTCAGCTACCTTTTCAAAAAGAAAGGTTGTGTCCTAATATATTGCAACATTCTTCAGATCTATCAGTTGTTTCTGCCTACTTTCACAAAGAAACTTTACAAATTTCTATGAATTTTAGCCTTTTTCCTTCCTTTCGTAGAAGGGAAAGTATCATCTTTTATTTATTTACTTTTTTTTCATGTTGTTCTTTGCAATAATTGTGTCTCAAGAATCCATTCATGTATGAAGGTAGTTTTTAAGTTAGGTTCTAGTTGAGGAGTTTTACATATATACCATGAAACTCAACTTTTGCACATACCTTAGTTGTATATCGTTTGTCATTTCAAACCATACATCTAAAATTTAATCCATTTTTCAGGTTCATGCTTGTTTCAAGGCCCCATAAGGAACCATCTCTACTTTATTCCCTGGTTTGGTTCTGGTTGGAAACTTGTTGTGATCAAACTTTATTTGTATTTTTTTTCCAGATGGAACTATTGTTTTCCTTTCCATTTATTTTATGCTTTTGGAATTTGGACTAATTTTTGAGATGTAGTATACTATTTTAACTGCTAAGTTTGAAATGTTATCAAATTAATTAATTGCTAGAAGTTAATATGCAGTGTTTGATGTCTTTGTTCAACTGTGTTTTATATAATTACTACTGTTGTTTCTCCTTTCTTTATAGTTTGTTCTATGTAGTGACTGACACGTTTTCAGTTGTCCCCCAAATGTTCTTCAAATTCTGATTTTTTCTACTATGCTATTATTATCCTACAAACCATTTGCCTTTAAAAATTGTTCTAACTTTTTATCCTATGCATTATATATTGGAGCAGTATTTCAAAAATTTGAGTGGATATGGTTGTAAATCCCTAATTTTTGGGATGCAGGGGCAATTTGGTCATTGCACTTGTTGAAAACACTCTTAATAGAATAGAGGTGTGGGCACTGCTACGCTTTTTTTGGCCAATCTATTTGTTCTCTCATCTTCCTCCTCTTATCTAGGACAGATAACTTGGTACGAGTGCTTCCTCTGTTGGACTGATTACACATACAAAGAAACATCCTTTTGGGTTTTTTTGCTATTATTTTATTTTCTTGGTGGTAAGTCCAATAGAACATTTCTATGGGATTTCTGATCCACTAGTTAGTTGTTTAAAAGTGGTTTGAGGGTTTTGACTATGTCAGTTGGATGATTTTCTATTGCAACAAAACTTCTCTAAACAGGAATCTATTAGAAGAACAAAAATTACATACCAACAATCAATGGAACCGTAAGGCAATTGGGTGGAAATGGTCTGTAGGGTTCTAAAGGTTGGGTTTAGATGCCAAGGGTGATATGTTGTTGGAAAGGTTTGCAGAGGAATATACTCAGATGGGAATGTCTTCTCCAAAAGGCCCCCTCAAGGGTACAAGATCCCCAATTTACAGGGAAGTTGGAAAGGTCTGTAGGGTTCTAGTGCCTCTTGTGTGAAGACATATTCGGAGAGGACCAGTACTGACCTGCATGGTTTTCCTAGCCTCCTTCACGATTTAACCACATGGAGTAATCTGGAGTCCTTTGCTTTGCAAATGCAAAGTCCTGTGTTATGCGGTACCTAATAGATTGGTATCAAAGATTTCCTATTGAGATGCTGCAACTGAGAACCATGATGAATACTAGGGCTGCTTCAGTCTATGTGAGATTGATCAAATTGAAGTTGGTTTGCACAACATGATCGGAGAGCTTTGAGAAATCAAGGAATCTGTCTGCGGTAGCTACCAGATGCGAGTAACTCATGTAGACTGGAGCATGGGACAGTTATTCTGATAGATTGAATCAGGGAAGTAATCGGAAGTCTGAATCAGCGACATGGACAGGCCAAGTTGGATTTTCTGTTGCATTCTGGTGAGGACTCTCTTCTTGGACTTTTAAAGCAGAATGATACTTTGAAATCAATGAGATTCCTGTGTAAACATGCTGGCAGACTCTTTAGCAAGAGTAGGGGTAGGGAGAGAAAATTTTGAGTATGGATGTCCTGGTCCATGTGAGTTTTCGTTGATGATGTTTGCTTTGGATCTCTGTATGTAATTTCAATGTTCGTCTGAAGGTTTGCTGCTCCTCTTGTGAGTAGTGTGCATGTTTGTTTTATTGACATACTACTATTATTTATAAAAAAAAAGAATGTCGATGAGATTCCTAGCCACCAATGAGTGGAAATTTCCTCTATTCATCTTGGTGGTCAAGCAATTTACAATTATGTGGTACCAATGTTACCAACTACCAACATTCTGAATCTTAGGTGGCATGGGTGGATTTTACTTGGGCTTTATGCATTCAATTTCGGTTTTCAAGCTTCAAAGACTGATGAAGACTTGTCCAAATTAGTACAAATTAGTGCCATTTGGGAATATCAAATTGCTTGTGAATGACTGGCCACTTGCATTCATGGATGGCCACAGAAGGCATTAGTTAGTTGTTTTGTGGGGGTCTCAAAGTGGAGGTCCAGCTTGAGGTGAAAGCCCTCCTACCTATGTCTTATATGGTTGGTCATAGATTAAAAAATATATCCCGGTCCACAGGCCCTATAATGAAACCGGGGACAATGGATAAGATTAAAGGCACTCTGGGCTGACCTCCCATTGTTACCTGCCCATCTCCAATACCTTTTAGTGACTCACATGGTCTGAAATGCAATCCCATAGAGAAAAAGGGTTGTACTATAACTATGAGCAATTTGGGCTCAGATATAAATGCAAAGCCCAAGTTGGGAGTACAAATTCCCCAAATTCTTGAAATTTCAAGCAACCAAGAGATGAAATAAACCAGGCACTGTTAGAATTTGACACTGAATGAACTGAAACACGTTTAGGAAACAAAAGACAAAAATGAATTTGACTTTGACAGATGGTTCCTAACAGTTATCCTTAGATGTTTCAAGTGAAATAGCAGAGGGAGTTTTGTTCCCTCGGTGCCAACTGAAATCAGAAAGCGTCAATGGGATGGGGGAGTGCTATCGGATGGATTTGAAGCTCAAGGGTTCAAGGTTTGAGGATATATTATGAAGAAATGAAAGTAAGGACTTCTCAGGCATTAGGTATGCTTCTAGGCAATCTCTTTCTCTTTTGGGCTCGATTTAGGTCTTTTTTATAGAGGGGAAGGGTATTTTCATGAAAAAAGTAAAATATTTTCATTTTAAGATGGTTTGCAATCAACATTTTTTCCTTGATTTGGGACCAATTTCAATGGGTTTTGTGCGTCCAATGGGAGTTTAGAGTGTCCTAATGTAGGGGTCTCGAATTTAGGGTTCCCAATGGCATAAAATGTAAATTTGAATCCACTATAAATGCCATTTGGTCTTTTCTAAGTTTTAAGTAGGGGTATCTTTGGTTTGTGGGTTTTTAAATCTGCTGGGTGCAATTTCATTATTGAAGGTGTTTTGGGGGGTTAAGTAGAGGGCTAACATTAGTCCTAACCCGTTTGAGATTTGAGGTTGATAGATCAATTTAGTTTGGTGCTTTAAGATGGAACCTTTTTAGTTTAATGGTCAAATGTAGGAGTTAGGTCATGGAATTTGATATATTGGTGTTTTTTTGGGTTTTGAACAAAGTGGTGGGGTTTCATTGGTCAAATAAGGCTTAGATAATGGTGATCTACAACTAACATGTCTTGATCAATGAGATTTATTGAAATGGAATCTTGGTTTGATGGTGGGTTAAATGACGAAGTCTTGGGATGAAATTTGGTGAGTAGGCATTTTTTAACGCTTTGAATCTAATTGAAGAGACGGATTTCTGGTTAGAGGTATAGATCGGAAGATTTAGCTCAAGTTGGGGTTTTGGCTTATAGCTCATCAAACAATAAGAGGGCTTGAAACAGAATCTTGTTTTTTTTAGAAGGAAATGTTTATGGCTGATATTGGATAGGTAGCTTATTTTGAGGGCTTTGGACCTAATGAGAGAGGGGTTTGGTTGCATGGATTGCAACTTTTTAATTGATTTAACTGTTCATGTCAGATTGAAATCTTTGATAATTAGATTGTGAAACAAAAGAATTTTGAGCTGAAATTTGGTGTGTGAGCCGAGTTAGGATGATGAATCATGTGGAAGGTTCAGATCAGGGAGAGAATTTTCTGATCTTGATTGTTCTAGTTTTGTTTATCCAACGCCATCAAAATGGAATCTTGTTAACCTTTGTTATTGATCTTTTGGACTTTTGAGGTGGGATTTGGTGGTTGATCGTATCTTAGTGTCTTTGAAATAGGGATGACAATTTCTACCCTACATGGTGGGTATCTGCCTTACCCTCCCCGATGGGGCGTTTTTTTTTTCTTGAAGGACAAGTTTTGGGGCAGGGACGGGTTTTGGGATTCTACAACCTGTACAGGTATGGGTAGGGTGCAGTATTAGGCTAAACCTAACCCTTCCTGACCCACATATTGTTGGAAAGCACATAAATTGTATGTACTAGTTGTTGAATTTAATAATATTTTGAATGATCTGTCAAAAGGAGAGTTGGTACGATGTATGATGGATCTTTAGAGTTTGGTCATGAATATTAACATGCCACCAGGTCTTAGTTCCTTGAATCCAGAGGCTGTGTCTGATTTAGGTATTTAATTGTTTTTGTTGAATCAGGTATCTTAAGGTTTTTCGTTGTTCTAAGTTTATTGGTGTTGTTTGACATGTGAAGGGTTTTAAAAAAAAAGAAGATTTGGGGTATATGGCACATTTTAAGGGATTGGGTTGTGCCTCACGTTTTGGAATCTTGATAGAGGAAGCACGAAGAGGTAGGGTGAGGGGGTTGAGCAAAAATTGGGTGCTGACAAGAGGAGGATGTCTATTTGAGCTATGTGGTGAGAGGACCCTTAAGGTTGAATCCAAGCTAGACTTCATATTTAAGGATGGGTTGGCTTCGAACATGATCCAAACCTTTTAGTAAGAGAGTCAAAGGGGGCTCATTTAAGAGGGCATTAACTTCTTTAGTAGCTTCAATTGACAGGGCATTAACTTCTTGTGGCAAATGTCTAGAGCCTGGATAGGGAACATCCTTCTCACTAAAATCCTTAAGGGAAGAAGGGTCCTCAGGGACATCCTCGTCCACGTCAGCCTTTATAGGGAGATTAAGACCAAGTATCGTCTCACATATGGACTCCATGCTGTTAGCAAGATCCTTTGGATTGTGGTCAAAATGGTGCTTTAACAATTCCAGCCCACCAAGTAGCATAGCGTTTATGGACTTTGTTGCTTGAAGCAGGCCATTGAGTGATTGTTGCTTTACATGGAGATCCCTATAAAGTCAGCATTTCCATAAGAATTCTAGTTACTTCAAAGTTTCTGTCCTGAATTCCTTCCGTGGGGTCCTTGGCAAATTTTGACAATATGCAAACTGTCTAGGAAAGCAATGAGGGCTATATGGTTCCATTATGTAATGGCTCTCTCTCCTTAA